AAAAAAAAAAAAAAAAAAGTGTAAAAAGAAACCGTGTACAGTACCTATTAGCAATCCCTCCCTGTTACCTTTCCAACTTCTGGCAACTCTAAACTGTGAATCTATTTTAGACCTTTTTGAATTTTACTATTCTTTTTTTTGCTGTGTAGTTCAGGCTGTCCTTAAAACACATCATGTAGCCCAGGCTGCCCTCAAACTTGCAGCGATCCTCCAGACGTTTGTCACTACATCGCATAGATTTCTCTATTTTTGACATTTCTTATAAAATAGAATCCTGTGGCCTTTTGAGACTGATTTCTTTCATCTGAATTACTCTTTTTAACACATATATGTTGTAGCATTTTATCAGTATTTTGTTCCTTTCAAACCTGAATATTTCAGAGTGTAACTGTACCACATATTGTTTATCCATTCACCAGCTGATGGATATTTGGATTGTTTCTACTTTTTGTCTTTTTTTGTTTGTTTGTTTTTGGTACTGGGGATCAAACTCAGGTCCTTGAGCTTGCAACGCAGGCGGTGGCACCACTGAGCAAAATCCCCAGCCCCTTTTTGTCTGTTTTTAATAATGCTGCTCTGAACATTCACATACGAGGTAGTAGGGAACATATTTTAATCTAAAGCTCTTGGATATTGTACAAGTTGTTTAATAAATAAAATATTTAAAAATTAAGGCATGAATGTTTTCTTATTTTTCAAAGCACATTTATTTCAAGTTGGTATAAAACTTTTTTTTTTCAGCGAGTATTGAGCCATCAAGATGACACAGCTTTGCTAAAAGCATATATTGTTGAATGGCGGAAATTCTTTACACAGTGTGATATTTTACCAAAACCCTTTTGTCAACTAGAGATTACTTTAATGGGTAAACAGGGCAGCAATAAAAAAACAAACGTGGAAGATAGTATTGTGCGAAAGGTAAGTCACTTTTCCCCGTTGTTTATGTAATATTTTTCAGAAAGAAAGTTGTTTGAAGGCATTTCAAAATAATTTAGACTTTTAAGTGGGTTTTTCTGCTTTGCATATAAATTCTTTCAGCTCTAACTGGGCTTTATTATATAACATTTTTCTTTTATTTATGTTTAGCATCAAATCTCCATCTTTTTTTCTGTTTTTTCCCCTTTTTTGTTGTTAGTTTTTTTAAGACATGCTCTTGCTGTGTAGTTGAGACTGACCTAGAACTCACTATGAAGCCCAGGCTGGCCTTGAACTCTCAGTGAACCTCCTGCCTCAGCCTCCTGAATGCTGGGATGATAGGCATTCCCAACCATGCCTAGCCTTCTCCATCTTTTTTTTTCCCTTGTCCCATAGTTGCCATCTTCTTCCTCCTCATCTTTTTCTCCTCTTCCTCCTCTATTCCTCCCCCTCCTCCTCTCCGCTGAGACAGTCTCATATGTATTCCAGGCTGGCCTTGAACTTGGGGCAATCCTATATCAAGCTTGTGAGAATTAAATGAGTTGTATGTGAAAGATAAATAGAGTAGTCCTAGATACAAGGTGAATGTTATAAAAGTGTTAACTCTTAGTTTTGCTACCACTGTTATTACTCTAACTCCTGTATCCAACAAAGTTACTTAGAGCACTAATATGTATCTAGCAATGTATCTATCTTATTTCTACCATTTTTATGTATATATATATAAGAGATTTACATATTTTTTAAAAGGCCAGAATCAAATACATTTTCTGCATTTTAAATGTCAGTATAAGCACATGCATATGAATATTCCAGACACACCAATATTTATGAAATCCATCTGGGAACTATGGAAGAAGCAACATATTCTAGGTATTATATGTTTAACAGCAGCTGGAAATTTGACTTTTTTTTTTTTTAATACATAGGAAAGCAGGTAAGTAAGTAACAGAATTAAGACTTAAATCTAGGGCTGGGGATTTAGCTCAGTGGTTCGGTGGCCTGCCTTGCAAGCACAAGGACCAGAGTTCAATCCCCGGTACCAAAAAAAAAAAAAAAAAAAGATTCAAATCCAATTTTGTCTGATTTAAAACATTTATTCTTTACCATTATGCTAAATATACTACTTCCTGAAATATTCCAGCAATGCAGGCCCAAGAATTTGATTTTGTGTTTTGGTATCTGTGCTAAAATTTGCTCACATGCCATGTGCACATGTGTACGTGGCTGTATGTGAGTGTCTCTGTAGTACTTGATAATAATTTTAAAAATTTTTTCTTGTTTTCTTAGCTTATGCTTGATACATGGAATGAATCAATTTTTTCAAATATTAAAAACAGACTACAAGATAGTGCAATGAAGCTGGTACATGCTGAAAGATTAGGAGAAGCTTTTGATTCTCAGTTGGTCATTGGAGTAAGAGAATCGTATGGTATGTTCTGAAACTTTTAAGTTTTCTTTTCTTTTTTTTTTTTTTGTACTGGGGATCGAGTCCTTGCACTTGCAAGGCAGTTGCAGCACCACTGAGCTAAATCCCTCGCCCCTTAACTTTTATAATCATAACTACCTTTTTTTGGGGGGATACCGGGGATCGAACTTGGATCCTTGTGCTTGCAAGGCAGGCGGCGGAACCACTGAGCTAAATCCCCAGCCCTATAACTACCTTTTCATGGAAAATTTTAGGACAGTTAGCATAATAGCAGTTGTGTTTATTAGCATATAAAGTTACATCTACTCTTTGGCATCAGCGTTTTCTTTTTAAAGAGTTTACAAATGGTATTCTACTTTAAAGAAACCTAGAAAAAGTTTTATTCATGTGATCAGATTTCCTCCAAACACTAATATCTTGGTAAATCTTTTTAGTGACCTCAATTACAGAAATACAAATTTGAATGTGCAGCTCATAAAAGGTACCTTGTTATGTGTTTGTTCTCAGAAAGTTACTTCCCTGGGTGGGTACCTTCTCAGCTCTGCCGATTATATTCTTTTTGGGTTTTTTTGGGGGGTTTTGTTTTTTTTTTTTTGGTTTTTTTTTTGAGACAGGGTCTCACTATGTAGCTGAGACTGACCTGGAACTTACTATGTAGCCCAGGCTGGTCTCAAACTCACAGCAATCCTCCTGCCTCAGACTCCTGAGTGCTGGGATTACAAACATGCGCCACCATACCTGGCTTGACAATAATATTCTTATTTGCCCTTTCAATCACATAAATTGTTTCCTTTGACACAGAATACTCTTCTTCCTTTTCTCTTTTAACTTATGTTCATCCTTTATTTCCTTATGGAGACCTTTCTGGGATTTTTGTCTTTTGTTTTTTTAATTGTTTTTCGAGACAGAGTCTTGCTTTGTAGTGCAGGTTGGCTTTGAACTCCCTATGTAGCCCAGGTTGGCTCAGCGATCCTCCTTCCTCAGCCTTCTGAGTGCCAGGATTATAGGCATATGCCATTATGCCTGGCTCGTGGAAGCCTTTCTCAATTCCCAGACTAAGTTAAGTCCTCTCAGTAATTTGTAGTGCTTGTGCCTCTTTGCATTAAGGCTTTTAAGTAACTCATTGACACTGCATCTTTACTAAACAGAATACTTGCCACAAAATCATTTGCAGTAGTATTAGTTGGATTGATGGACTTTTGCAATGATTTTTTTATTGGATTTTCTCCATTGCCATGGGTTTTTATCAAGTCTTTAAATTTCCGTTAGCATTATTGTTCCTGAAATTTATTCCTTTATTTCACTCCTACCAGTTTAGATAGCTTTAAATTCTACATGTAGACTGTTGAAGCATTCCTTTTATAGTAATCTGTTTTTTTTTGGAGGGTAGAGTACTGGGGATTGAACTTCGGACCTTGCTCTTGCAGGGCAGCACCACTGCACTAAATCCCTGGCCCCCTTTTATAGTAATCTTATTGCTATCACATCCCACGTACTATTCACCAGATTAATTTTTAGGTAGAATTTATTTTTTCCCCTATTTGCACCTTTAATTATATACTATATCAGGCTATTTGGAAATTGAACCTCTCCACACACCTCCTTATTTACTGTTCTACCTTATTTTCTGTTAAGTATATAATCCATTCAGACAGCAGTCATTAAGCAAATGCTTTTCTGAGTATTTACTTATCTCACTAATAGTCTATGCAGATCCTTGCTTATTCCTTCCTTAAGATTCAGTTTAAGTCCCATCTGTCTGTGAATGGCTCTTTTTTTAAATTTTGAGACAGCCTCTTGCTATGCAGTTCAAGGCTGGCCTTGAACTCACAGCAATCCTCCTGCCTCAGCCTCCAAAGTGTTGGGATGACAGGCATGCACACCCAAACTGTGAATAGTTTCTTGCTCATCAATTTAGAAGTCAGTCTCTTTCCTATTAAAAATAGTAATTATAATATTTATTTGTTACTTTATTGCTTAACGCTGTTACCTTTTTTTATAGAGATTTTTGTCTTGTTACATGTTCTTCTGAACATTGCTATCTTGCACATAATGGTTCCTCAGTATTTCTTACTCATTTACTACACTCAAAATACTAATTGAGATAATAATTAAAGTAAAATTTTATTTTGTTTTTCAGTTAACCTTTGTTCTAATCCTGAGGATAAGCTTCAGATTTATAGGGACAATTTTGAGAAGGCATACTTGGATTCAACAGAGAGATTTTATAGAACACAGGCACCCTCATATTTACAGCAAAATGGTGTACAGAATTATATGAAATATGTAAGTCAGAACTTAGTACTTTTGATAATTTGAGCTGTCCTCTTGATATTCTTAAAATGATTGCTATTTCATTTCTGGACAGGCAGATGCTAAATTAAAAGAAGAAGAAAAACGAGCACTACGTTATTTAGAAACAAGACGCGAATGTAACTCTGTTGAAGCTGTAAGTAATTTTGTAATTGTACATTTTATGGGATTATTTGAAGTACAATAATACAGGGATGGCAAATACATGATAATAAGGTCATTATTCTTTCTCGTGTTTCTGAGCAACAGTATTAATTGGTTATAATCCTCTTTCCCTGTGAGCAAAAGTATAGCTCCAAAGGTTCCTTATTCAAAATACTTTCAGAGTTGGTGTGCTAAGTAAAATATTTGCCTTCCCTGTTCTAGATTTTACTGTTTTCACTGTACAGTACTTACGTTTTAATCAGTCTATTTTCTTTCATACATATCTGAAGCTAAACATTTTTGTGACTTTCGTGTGCCAAGAAAAATAGGCTCCTGACACACACAGATGATTCTCATTACTTTGTGAAGTTATGTTCTGTAAATTTGCTGCAAAAACTGAATTAGTCACTACTGATTCATTATTCCTAGGAATAATTCTTGTTATGGGGAAATGTTTCAAACTTCATCATATCATGAGAAGAATATTAATTATTATTTGATAAGAGGACATCAGCCTTTTATATTGTATAAGTCTCATTAAAAATACCTGGTCAGGGCCAGGTGTGGTGGTGAATGCCTGTATTCCCAGCACTTGGGAGACTGAGGCAGGAGGATTGCTGTGAGTTCAAGACCAGCCTGGGCTACATAGTGAGTTCCAGGTCAGTCTTAATAACAACAAAAAAAAAACCTGGCCAGAGATAATAGCCATGCTGAGCATTTTCCTTTACATGAAGAATGTGTCTTAGTATGCTTTAGTAAGGAAAAAAAAGAAATTTGGGCAGAGGCTTGGAATCTGTTGCACTATAATAACAGTATTTCCTCCAGTTCTTGCAGTCTTTAGAATTTAAGAACTAGATTTAAATTTACATTCAAAAGCATAATATTTGTAGTGTACCTGTAACTCATTTGTCAACTATGGATGGTTTGTAGAACTTTTTTTTTAAATTTTTTTTTGAATGACAATCATTTGTTTTATTCTTTGTTTAGAAATTATGCTGAGTACAATCTTTTCTCTTTTTTGTATGTGTATTAAGATTGCTTGTTCATGATTTGTAGTAACCTTCAATGGTTTAAGATAATTTTGGTGTTGGCAAAGAAAAGGTGAAAGGGCAGGAGATAATTTAGTGGTTGTTTATAGAATTCTGTATAGACTTTTAAAGCCAGGGTTGGATTTCATTCAAAAGGCAAGATCATTGAATATTTTTTGAACTGTTGTGCCATGATCATTGTCCTTCAGGAAGGTTAATCTGGTTACAGTAAAGATTAATTGGAATGGGGAAAAGCTGGGAATAAGTAGAGATTTTTGCAATAATTTAAGCAAGGCATTAGGAGGATCATTATAACAGTGGGACTTGAAAACACAAGGGTAGAAAGACTACCCAGAGGTAGAACATTGTATCATATGTAGAGGGCTAACTGCTGCAGGGAATCAAGCCAGTAGTGTTTCTGAGGTATCCACTTGGAAGAATTTTGCTGCTTTAGAGAAATTAGGTGTGAAAGTAAGTCTTAGGGAGAAAGATAAGTTCAGTTTGGGGAATTTAAGTTCATTTTGAAGGTTGACATTCTTTTAACACCTGAAAGGGGATGGTGCTACTTTGTAAGGTAGAACTGTTCCATTCTTATACTCCAATTTGTAAAGTTTAGTTTATTATATCCACATTAAACTCAGTAAGGTCATTAAAGTATAAAGATCCTACCAAGAGCAAGAAAGTGAGAATAAAAAAGAAATAAAACAAATACAATAGCTTATTTAGAGTAATTGAGTCTCCTGTTCTTGAACATACTGGAAAAAACTTGAAATAGTGAGTAGCTCACCAATGTTTAAATTTTGTTTAGATTTATTTAAAAATAAAATTCCCAAGTATAATACAGTATGCCTCCAAAAATTGTATTTTATGGGAGATATAAAAGATCTGTTTGTGGGGTTTGTTTTTATTGTATGTCTGTGTTGTTTTTATTGTTTTGATTATCTGCTTATTTTTTTTACAAAGTTGTCTTGATTGAACTATAGTTTACCAGGAAAAGTGAGCAAATTTTAAATGCAAATTATACAAAGTGAACACACCCATGAAATCACTAGAAAAAAGGAAGGACGGACGGACCAACCTGCCCAATTTTAAAAAATTAAGAATATATCTGAATGTATTGATACACAGTCATAGTACCAGCTACTAGGGAAGATGAGAATTTCATGTGCCCAGAAATTTAGAATGAATGAATGAATGGAAAAGAAAAGAAAGTTAATTGGAATGTATATATATCTTAGTCCAAAGCCAGTATTTTATTTCACAGAAAAACATTAGAGGCACTTCTACTATCATGAACTGAAAAAGAATGTCCATTAGCCGGGAGTGGTGGCGCACCCCTGTAATCCCAGTGCTCGGGAGGCTGAGGCAGGAGGATTGCTATGAGTTAGAGACCAGCCTGGACTACATAGTGAGTTCCAGTTCAATCTCAACTACATAGTGAGACCCGGTCTCAAAAAACCAAAAATAAATAAATAAAGAAAGAAAGAAAGAATGTTCATTATTTCTACTGTTGTTAAACATTATGTTTGAGGTATTAATGCAGTTAGACATGAGACATCAATTAGAGGCTTAAGAATGAATGAACAGAAGTAAAACTTAAATTGGAGATGATATATGTCTTTAAACCCCCAGCCAATCAATAATACAAAAAAAAATACAGAATAAACATTAAAAAATTATATATAAACCAATAATGATTAAAGGATATAATGTTAGGGAAAACCTCATTTGTGGTAGCAACGTAGCAAATACTTGAGAAATTTTAACAAGAAATGTGTGAAACCTACTAGTCAAATTTTTCAGATACTATAAAAAATATAGAAGTAAACTTGAAAAAATTATTATATATTCTTAAATATTCTGACTCAGAATTATGGAGTTCCTCCCTAGTTTGTAAATTCACTGTAATTTTAATAAAAATATGTGCAGCTATTTTTATGAAGTTCTACAAGCTGATGCTGCAGTTCATATGCAAAAATAAGCCTGTTAGAATAGCTAGGAAAAGCAGCTGTGTATGGTAGTATATAAAAGTTTAAACCCAACCTGGGCAACTTAGTGATTTAGACCCTATTTGAAAAAATGAAATAATAAAGTAAAGTTAAAATAGACTCAGATGAAGCCCAGTGCAAAGGCCTGAGATTCAATCCACAGTGTTCTCCTCCACCCCCACCCCCACACTGGAAGGAAAAGAAAACTTAAAGGAAGACTGAGTCTTACCAGACATTAAAATGTACCTATAAAGCTTTTATAATTAAAGTAGTATGTTATTGATACAGCAAAGGTTAGTACCATTTAATGTCTGGTTAGGTTTGTGGAATGGGATAGAAAGTCCAAGATTAGACCTAGATACATATAGGACTTAATTTTGACAAGAGTTGGATTTGAAATGACTAGGGATGAAGATAGACATGTAAAAAAAATGGTAATAAGACAATTTAATATCCATCAGGAAAAAGATTATTAGATTCATATTTTATACCATACAGAAGAATAAACACCAAATGGATCAAAAATATGAATGTTAAAAATGAATTAATATAAGTACTAGAAGAATTCTTTAATCTTGACTAAGGAAAGGCTTTTTGCTATGACTCAGTGCATGTCAGTAAAAGATCAATCAACATGACATTTGGGTACGGGGATTTAGCTCAGCGGTTCGGTGGCCTGCCTTGCAAGCGCAAGGACCCGAGTTCAATCCCCGGTACCAAAAACAAACAAACAAACAATAAACATGACATTTAAAAAATTTGTAGTATAATGTTAAAAACTGACAACCTGGGACAAAAATATTTCTAATGAATATTACAGGCAAAGGATTAGTATCTCTAGTATGTAAAAAAAAATTTTAAATTGGATAAAGATTAAAAAACCAGGACCAGGCATGTTGGTGTATAACTCTAATCACAACACTCTAGGAAGCTGAGGCAGGAAGGTCACAAGTTGAAGGCCAGCCTGGGCAACTTACTGATATTCTGTTTTAAAGTAAAAAGTAAAAAGGGTTGCAGATGTAACTCAGTGGTAGAGGGCTTGATTAACATGTGTTATGCCCTGGGTTCAGTCCCCAGTAGTTTTTAAAAAAAAAAGGAAGGGGTATGATAAAAACCTGATAGAAAAAAATGGAGAAAAGATATAAATAGCTCATTAAAAAATAGAAAAGTGTTAAATTGTTTTTACACATGAGTTTCACCTTAAAAATATCAAAGGCAGTAGATAATCACTATTAAGCAAATATCACAGTAATACTGTAATTGTTGCAGTCAGGGTCCACCAATGTATACTACAGTTACTGACCAAAAGCTTGAAACAGTATAGGTTATTTTCTGTTCTGAAGTATCTTCCCAAGGTATTTATTAAAAGAGAAATAGTAACTTCACAATGGAGAAGTTTGTGAGACATTATCATAAATAACTGAGGTTCACATCACTAGTAATAGGACACTCTGACAACGTGTATACCCCTTGATGTGAGCTCTGAGAAGAAAATAACATTTGTGTGATAATTCTTATCAAACTCCCAAATTGACAGGTAGTGTACAAAATAACCAATAATTATTCTTTTAAAACTTAAGAGATATAAGAAAAAAGTGTTATGATGAACCAAAAAAGGACAAAGGAACTGTCACAGATTGTAACAGAAGAAATGACAAAATGAGCTGTGGGTTTGTTGGCAGTAGTCTGCAATAGGAAAAAAGACATAAGTGGAAAAACTAATAAATTTCAAATAACATCTGCTTTAATAGTATTGTACTAATACTGTTTTTTCTGGGTTTTGAGAATTGTACTATGGTTACATAAGATGTTAACATTAGGAAAAGTGGTGCTGTATGTAGAAAGTTAAATAATATTATGAAGAATGCCTAATGCCTTTTATTTGAGACATCTATGGAAATTATCTAACTGTATTTTCCTCCATTGAGCTAATTTATTTAAACACATGAAGACAGCTCTAACATTAAACCATTCTA